GGCCCTTCTCCTTCCCATCCTGGGCTGTGGGTGCATTGTCTTTAGGGACAGTGTTCTGGGGAGCCAAACTGGTGGGGGCATGTCGGGGGCTCTGAATGGCCCAGGGATTGAACACTGTAGTCAGTTCCCAGTTTTCTTGAGAAGCACCGGGCATGAGCTTTTTGTGTGTGGCCTGTGAACCGATCCGCAGAGACAGGTGCCATACTCAGCTGTGCCCCAGAGCCTGGCAGCCAGGTGGGCTCACCCTGACACCTCATGGAGCTCCTGCCCTGAGCCAGGCGCTTGCTGGGGTGTATGGACTTCAATTCATTTGGTCCTCTCATTTGGATAAGTATTACTAACTCCATTTACAGATGAAGAAACTGAGGCTCAGAGAAGATAAGTCATGTGCCCCAAATCACAATGGTCAGTGGCTGACCTGGGGCTGGAGAGACCTTGTCATGTGGGCCCTGCAACCTGAGCGCTAAGCACTATACATGCTGTCTTCTCGGATCACCCCTGCCCCATGGGCTTCGTCATGCACCCCAGCTCTGGCTGGGAGTGGACTTTGGGAACAGTGGGGGCTCTCAGCCCTGCCCTGCCTCCTCTCGGGGCAGTTCTGGGGCTGCATACCACTCACCCTGCCCCGTAAGCTAGCTGTCCACAGCAAGTCTTCCATGGGGTCTGTTGGCTCATCTCGGCCCTGGGGGTGGTTGTTGTGGGTGGCATTCCTGGGTAGCAGTTCAGCGGAAAGGCCTTGGAGGCATGGTGGTGTTTGGCGGCTGCTCGGATCCCAGATCAGCTGGTGGGGAGGAGTGGGCATCAGGCCCCGAGTCTGGGGCCCTGTGGCGAGATGAGGTTTGCCCATGGGCCTGGCTGTTGTGGTGCTCCCAGAGCCTGCACACGTCCCAGTGGCTGCATCTTAGCTGAGGCCCAGGACAGCCTATGGCTCTGGACACAGATTCCAGACTGTTCCCTTGCTCCTGGCTCTTCCTTGCTGAGGTTACCTGGAAAGGCACACGTGCGGGTCTGAGCTGCATTCCAGCTGAGAGCCAGCCTTGGATCAGTCAGGGGCCAGGCTGGGTTACCGCGCCTGGGCTGCCCAGATCCTGAGCAGGAGGGATGGGCACCTGGAGGGCAATGGGCCAAAATCCAGACTGATGATGTTCCATGCAGGAAGCTCCTTGCAGGAAGTGGCTCCTTCCTGTTGACGGGCCAGGTTGGTCGCTCCCTCCAGGGACACCACTGGAAGGAGGAGGTGGGCCACTCCCATGTTCCCATGGTGAAGCCAAGGCAGGGCCCCTAGCCCTCCTGTGTCTGTCCTCATGCAGCACAGGCCCTGTGTGGAACTGGTGGTGCCTTGTCAGGCATCTGCCTGGCTTCCTTCAGGGCATACTGGATGGGTGGCTGGGCCAGCCTTGGCATTGCAGACCCAATGGCAGGGAGGTCACCACCTCCAGAGGCTGCTTGTTGCACCCTGGGCCAGGGGACCGTTGGGAAGTTGCTCTTTACATTGGGCTGAACTCTGGGTTGTGATAGCTGTGACCCTTAGTCAGCCATGAGGCTCATCCAGAGCCTGCCTGCTTAGAAAGACATGGCGCATCATGGATGGTTACCTGAGTGCCCTTCCCATGTGATTGCACCGACAGGGAGACCCCCAGGAGGGGGCTCCCATGTGTCCNAGTGGTTCACAGGCACAGATGACCCTGTGGCTGGGAATGTGGAAGTGACTTTTCCAAGGCCGCGCTGCAGGCAGGAGGCCACCAAGTGGGATGGAACCCAAACCAACCCTGCCCGTCCTCCCGGGCCCGGGGTCAGGTGGGCATGAGGGGTTGTGGGCAGAGCCTGGATGTCATGCCCTCTGCTTTTGCAGGTACTACGAGAGTTTCACCAACTGCACCCAGATGGAGACCAACATCTCAGGCTGCTACTGGCCCAACCCCCTGGCCCAGGGCTTCATCAGCGGCGTCCACAGGCAGTTCTTCTCCAACTGCACCGTGGACAGGGTCCACTGGGAGGACCCCCCGGACGAGGTTCTCATCCCGCTGATTGTCGTGCCTGTCCTGCTGACAGTTGCCATGGCTGGCCTGGTTGTGTGGCGCAGCCAGCACACTGACAAGCTGCTGTGAGGGCCCTGCGAGATGGAGGGGCCATGCCTGGCAGCTGAAGAAAGTTCCCCTGGGCTGGGAGAGCTGGTGCACACTTGCCCGTGTTTGGCCAGGCTGGGCATCCTACCCGGTCACAGGCCGACCCTACCCTCCCAGGCCGACCTGGTCCTGGTGGCTAGTCTGCCGCCTGGCTGCAACTCAGGCTGCCCACCCAAGCTCTTCCCTCTTTCTTGGGCCAGTGGAAAAAATTGTGATGAGGCCAGAGCTCGTGTGTGGGGCACAGAAGTCATCATCTGCTGCACCCCACGCTCCCTCCGGCTGGGGTGTCTGGCCCAGGTTTCTAGGCCAGTTTTCAGTATACAATCCCACCCAGCCTCAGCCCTAGCCCAGGCCCCAACCCACCTCCAATCCTGAGCCAGATCCCATCTCTTTCCCTGCTCCTAATGCCATCTCCTGTCCTGACCCTGACCCCATATTCTGCTCTGACCCTGATCTCATCTTCGGCCCTGTCGCTGACCCCACCTTCAGCCCTGGCTCTGGCCCCATCTCTTGCCCCAGCCCTAGCCTCTGACCCCACTTCCAGCCCTGTTGCTGACCCCACCTCCAGGCCTGGCTCTAACTGCACCTCCTGCCCTAGCCCTGACCCTGACCCATCTTCTGCCCTAACCCCACGTCCACCCCTGACCCTGACCCTGACCCCATCTTCTGCCCCAGCCCTGGCCCCTGTCCACACCCAGTGGAAAGGGCAGGTGCGGGCCTTGGGAAGACCCTTTCATGTTGTGGACCCCTGAGCCCTTCTGGTGGGGAGACCAGGCACACTTCAGGCTGGAAGGCTGGGAGATGGAGGGACAGCCTGGGGCTACCAGGAGCTGTTCATGGCCTGCAGATCTGCCTGTCTGTCCCATCACGATTCTGCAACTGCTGTGGACTGTGCCCATGACCAGAGGCTGGAGTGGGGTGCATCAGAGCCTGTGTAGGTGGGGCAGGGGCCTCCTTCCTTACGGGATCCCCTGTGAGCAAGGTGCAGTCTGGAGTGGGTCCTGTGCACATATGTACTCTGTTGGCCTCTGTCTGTGCTTTGTCTGAGTAAAGACTCTTCCTACTTCTGGGATTTCCTGTTTTATTTCAGGGTATTCAGAGATGGTGGGTCTCATGGCCTTGAGGATTCCCTGGTACCTATTTTACAGAGAAGGAACAACTGAAGTTCCAGTATCCCAGAATGCCAGAGCTCAGGGGGCTCAGAGAGCTTCACATCAGGGGCATGTGGGCTGGACAGGAGGGGGGGATTGGTCATCCTGCTTGTAGCCGCCTGGGGCATTTCCCGCCCCTGACCCTGAGGTTTGAGGATGAAGGAGAGGACTTATTTCTCCTTGGTTTCCTCTTTGAGGCCACCTTGGGCTTGCCAGGACCCCCACCTGGTGGGTTTTCTGGGGTTGGGGAGGCCCTGCTGGGTCTGGCTGTGGGCAGATGCTGGTCTGGAGGCCCAGCTCTGTGGATCTGTGTCTTCCAGATGTCCTCTTGCTGTGTGTGGAGGCTGGAAAGACCCTGGCAGTTCTTGTGCCTTTAGAGGTTCTGCTCCCCTTTGATACCCAGGCATGCAGGTCCTGGCATTGGGGACCTGCCTGGGGGATGCTGCTGGAATGGAGGCCTGGGTGTCCAACCTGTGCCTGCCCCGTGGGGGACACAGTGTAGGGGACAGAATCTGAGTCTACTCTATGTTCTTGAGGCAGCTTCAGCTGAGAAGTGAAAGGTCATGATCTGTACCTGGACCAGCTGGGTGAGTCTGGGCATATTTCCCACCACCTTGGCTGGCCATCTCTGAGATGGGACACCATGTGCCAGATGACATGACCCATGTGAATTTAGGGAGGTCAGAGCATCCACAGGCTTCAGACCATCTGTTCTGTACACGGTCAAACGTTTCAAGTAGTTGCCTGTTCTTGAATGGTGTCTTGGGGGGCTGGGCTGCTGTTGTTGGGGGCAGCCCTGCCCTCGGCCTGCCTTGGGCCTCTCCCCAATTTTGGGTGCTCCCCTGGAGCACAGCTTGAAGAATTTTGAAACCGCCATGCCACCTCCTGGATCCCATAGAACCCGGGCTCTGAACAGGGGAACTGAGTGGGTGAGTGAGCCTGGAGTCACCTTCCTGGCCTCCTCCCAGTCTCACGGGCATGTGTCACAGTCTCAGGATGCTTTTAGGACAGTTGGCTGTTAGGTGCTGACCATATGTTGGTGGGCTTTGATCCACCTGTTCCCTGGGCCCAGGGTCCTCTGTGTTGTCGAACCCCTTCCTGGGCTCCTGGTGTGGCTGGAAATTCAGAGCATGAATGGCTGACGGGACCACTGGACTCGCACAACACGCAAGCCATGTGGGGCATGGCAGGGAAAGATTCCAAGCGAAGGAGCCACCTGGGCGCAGGTACTCAGGTGTGACAAGGTCCACAGCAGGTGCGGTGGAGCAGGATGGCCTGTGGGAAGGTGGGTCAATTGCAAAGGGCCTTCATTGCCAGGTTAAAAGTTTGAGCCCCCTTAGTATAAATGTACCCAAATATATCATACCCCATAATCATGGCTCAATTAAGAAAAATACATTAAAAAGAGAAAAAAGAGAGAGAAATAGAGAGTAGGATAGTGGTTACCAGAGGCGGGGGAAGGGAGAGGGGAGGGGAAAGATTGGTAGGCAGGTACAAAGTTGCAGAGTGACAGTTATATGGGAAGAATAAGTTCTGGTGCCCTAGGGTGACAACAGCTAACAATATCGTATTGCGTAGCTCAAGATAGCCTGAAAAGAGGATCCTGAATGATATAACCACAAAGAAATGATAAATGTTTAGATGGTAAATATGCTAACTCTTCTGATTAGATCACTGTGCAATATCTGCACGCACCGAAACAACAAGCTGTACCCCGTAAACGTGCAATGAAAAAAATAAAGGTTAAAAAAAAAAGTTTGTGTTCCCTTCTGTGGTGGTGTTGCTTGCCTGTTGTTAGCCACTTGCCATCAATCCACATCTATCGGGGCAGTCCCCTGCCTCCTGGCCCCACTCAGCTGTCCCTGTCCCTTCTGGGCTGTCACCGCATGGGCAGGGAGCCCTTGGCAGGGGGCTTCTGTCACTTACTTCCTCATCTCCAGGTGTAACTGGGGGCCTGGGCCTGGGAGGTGCCAGTGAACGTGGACGGGCGAGTGCGTTTCTTACAGAGCCCTGTGAATTGAGCCTGCTAGACTTAAATCTAGAATTTAATGTCTTTCTTCTTAACTAGGATTTGAAAATACTGTCACACAAT